GGGGTCCCGGGGCTCCTCCAGAAGGGGGTCCCCACCCGGGGGTGCACTGACCTGCCGTGTCTGCTCCATCCAGGCTTCTACGAGCTGAGTGACGGCGGCTCCTGCTCCCTGTCCACCTCCTGTGCCTCTGTCTGCAGCGACCGCGTCTCCCCCTCCCTGAGCAGTCTGCTGCCTGCGGCCCAGCCCGCCAAGGCCAGGCCCTGTGTGGGGGACTGGCGGCCCCGGTCGGCAGACGAGACCTCCGTGCCAGTGTGGAGACCCCAGGCCACCGAGGACGGCAGCAGGCCCCCGGGCACTGCAGGGGGCACAGGCCAGCCATGGGGCACGTTCCGGCCCAGGCCGGTGTCCACAGGTGAGACGCAGCCAGGAAGGGTGGGGTGGGCCGTCTGAGGGTCCCGGCGGTGGTGCCAGCAGCACGCAGCCCCGCAGCCCGCCGAGGACAAGCAGGGAGACCCCACACGGGGACCAGCCAGGCACACACCGCGTGAAATCCTCCCTGGGCCTTTCGGGTGTTCGGGTGGAGTAGGAGTCACGCACCCCCGTAGCCGGCCGTCCCAGCGAAGGGCATCTTTCTCTTATTACTCAAAATGGATGTCCAAAAATTTTTTTAAAACCCTTCAAAACTCCTTGATCTGCCCGTGTTTGGAGTGGGAATAGTCGGAAGCACTCCTGGAGAGGAAACTCGGTTCACAGCGGGTTCACGCACGGCCCGGGGAGGAAGCTCGTTGTGCTCAGACTGCCCCTAAAGGAGAAGGTGCCGTGCGGGGCCTCGTTTTATTTCCGATACAAGCCATCGTCTTCCTCGGTGGGCATTCCCGGCTGACTTCCTCTGGTGTCTGTAGGAGCCTCAGGGCCCCACCGGGACCCCCCGTGGGCTGCAGACCCTCCCCGGCCCCTCCGCTCTCCGGTGAAGTCGGGCGCCAGGCTGGGGCGCTGGGCTTTCGCTGCGGGGGCTGTTGGGGACGGGGCCATGGGCTGAGAACCGGACGGACCCGGTCTCCACGCCTGCACCGCGCTGCCCTGGCTGGAGGCCTGGGGCTGTCCCCGTGCGCCCTGGAGGTCCTGGGTGAGGAGAATGTGCCCGTCCCGTGCCACGAGCAAAGTGACGTCCTCTCATTCATTTGTCCGTTTCTCTCCCCAGGTGACCTCGACAGAACCCTGCCGGCGGACGCGCGGCTGCAGAAGGCCGGCACAGACCCCCGGGCCCCGCCGCTCCTTTGCCAGGGCACAGACGCCCCGCCCCACACGCAGGACCCCCAGTACCAGCGGGACCTGGTGTCGCAGGGGGGCAGGGAGGTGTACCCGTACCCCAGCCCCCTGCACGCGGTGGCCTTGCAGAGCCCCCTGTTTGCTCTGGCGCCAGACAGCACACGGAGCGATGGCCCCTCGCCCCCTAGGAAGCCCCTTCAGGGCCCCGCAGGCATCTGCTCCGCCCAGACCGGACCGGTCCTGGAGGCCGGCACAGCCAGAGCCTACATCGACAGGCTGCTGCGTCTGCGGGGCTGCGGGACCCCCACAAGGGGTGGTGTGGGTGAGCAGGGTCCCCCTCGACGCGAGGTGTCCCCCTCCCCCCGGGAGCCGGGCGGCCAGAGGACGGACAGTGAAGGTCGGCTCCAGAAGCTGGTCTCGGGCCCAGGGAGGGCGGCCGGTGGAGGCAGCCCCCCGCAGCAGGGACCTACAGCCCTCGTGGGCACCCAGCACCCCAGCAACCTCCCAGAGGAGGGGCCCGGACCCTCCAGCCGCTGTGTCCTGGGGGAGACCACTGCGAGCCCCTCACCCTGCTCCCAGGCCCGGCAGCCTCCCTCAGTTGTGCCACCGTCCCAGCGGGTGGACAAGAGCCACCCTCTGGGCTCAGGGCCCTTCCCTGCCAGGGAGGCTTCCCTGCCCAGGCTGAACATGGGCCACCCCACGGCAAAGGCCGAGAGGACCAGGAGGAGGCCCAGTGACCAGGCACTGAGGTCTGGGAAGCAGGTGCCCTCGGCAGCAGAGAGACATCGGGGTGCCCACGCAGCGCCCTGGCTCCCCCCAGAATGGGACCCTACCCGCCGGGCCCAGGGGGCGGGTGGGCTCGGGAGGCCCACCCTGGCCAGGGAGGTGCCCGGGCGCTCCTGCTCTGAGTCCACCCTCTACCCGGTGCCCTTCCTCCTGCCCCTGGTGGTGGCTCCGGGGCAGGGGTGCGGGGCGGCCCACGCCCTGTTCCCCTTGGGGGCCGCCCCTCTCGGTGGGATGGCCAGAAGGAGGCAGCGCCGGTGGCAGTCCACCGTGGAGATCTCAGCTGGGGCCCGCCCGGCCCGCTGTCCCGAGCCCAGCCCGGGCACCCCCAGGCCCACCGCCAGGAGAGCAGGCGGCCCCCGGGCCCAGGGCAGGCCCTCGCTGGCCCGCCAGGACGCCTGCACCAGGAGCGAGTCGGACCCCTCTGAGCCGTCCACGGACTGTGCCTCGCCGCTGCACTCCACCGCCGCGGAGACCAGCGGGGAGGAGGCGAGCGACCACACCGCCAACCGCTTTGGGGACCGAGAGTCCGGCGGCAGCGACTCGGAGGGCGGCGTCCGGAGCCGTGGCCGCGGCCGGGCGCTGGACTGTGGCGTGGCCGGGCGGGGGCAGTGGGCCTGGCTGCCGGCGGGACCCCCAGCGGGCTCACGGCCACCCCTGCCCCCCGTGCCCAAGCTGTGCCGCGTCAAGGCCTCCAGGGCGCTGAAGAAGAAGATCCGCAGGTTCCAGCCGGCCGCGCTGAAGGTCATGACCCTGGTGTGAGCTGCCCAGGACGCCGTCTCCTGGCGGGCCCTGGGCCTCCCCAGGCCGACCAGCGTGCAGAGACGGGTTTGCGTGTCAGACGGCTGCGCCTCGTGGAGGACAGTATTCTGGGGGTGACTCTCCCCACCCCGGCGAGGACATCTGCGGACAACTTTGAGGTTTCGGATTTTGTAAGCCGCCCCGGCCACCTTGCTGTTTCTTCCAGCGTCTCCCCAGGACGGGTCGGCTTCTTGGCCGGCGTCTCTGTCCCAGGCTGCAGTCCCAGAGGCGGCTCCCACTGTCGGTCCCCCTGGGCCGGGCTGTGTTTCCCAGTCCTCTCCCGTCCCTCCCCGAGCCCCTTCCAAGGCAGTGGTTGCAGGACTGCGCGCTGGACATGGACCTCTAACGCTGGGTTGGGCTCTCGATGTGAATAAACGCTCCAGTTATGCCATTATCTTCTGAAATAAAATGAACATTTTTTAAAATTTTCCTTTAACCTCCTTGTTTCCTTGCGTGGCACGTAGCGGTTGCTCAGTGAACCACGCCCCTTCTCATCACGTGGGCACACGCTGGCCCTGACCTGGCAGGATGCATTTTATCTGGGGACAGTCTAAACTCTGGTTCCAAGACAGATAAGTTGAGTATAAAAGTCTTTTGAAAAAATCACTTTTACTGGTGTTTATTTTTCCAAAGAAAAATTCCCTCAGCTTTTCAGGCAGAGCTGGTGGAGTTTCACCTAAGCTGCCTGGTGTGTGGGCAGCATTTTCAGTTCAGGAAGCAACTTCCTCCTGGACGATCCAAACTCATGTACAAGGGGGTGGGGTGGGACCCTGCAGTCCTGGGTGTGTACCTGCGGCCGGTGGAAGTCCTGGAGCCCCCCAGGGCTAAGGCGGCTTGGTGGGAATTTCAGGAGGAGGTTGGTTTTCTGAAAATGCTAGTAGGTTTTATACTAGGCATTCAATATTCCTATACAAGTAGTTGGTTTCAGGATGCAGTTTAAAGAGATTAACATTTTCGAACAAAGATGTTGGCCTCAGAGAGGTGAGGGGGAGTCCGCCGCTGAGGTTCGGTGAGAAGAGGAGGCCTCAGGGTCGCTCTCTGCAAACCCCGAGAAAACGCAAACACCAAAGGGACCGCAGCTGTGTCTGGTGGGGGCCTCAGGCTGCCCACTCGGGGGGAAAAGAGTGGGTGTGGGTGTGTGCAGAGGCCACACAGCCAGAAAGGAGGCAGGAGGGAAACTGAGGAAGCCAGACGCTTCTAAAGAACTGCTCCCGGGGACTGGGCCATTGCCCAGGGGAGAACCCACTCACCCCAGCCCCCCAGGACCCAAATGCCCCCACCAGGCCCCAGCTCCCCACTCCCTGCTCTGGGATCG